CAGCAGGTAAATAAAACTGGCCCGGCCCGCCAGGGTGCTTACCCTAGCGAGCCACGTGCCGAACGTTGCCGACCCCTGGTCTAGAGTGAACAGATTTCCAATGATTGGGAACTTAGCATCAACTACTCTTTATTGTTATTCTTTTGCCACCAGTCTTTGGAATCTCAATCCAACATGGAAGCAAACAGACCACAGAGAAGGCAAAAGGCTGCACATTCAAAATGGAGTCTGCAGCTTGACACAAACACATAGGGTGCATAGTCTCACAAAGAATTCATAAACTGTACAGATATATTCCCAACTCATCACACCCTATGCCTGCATCACAGAGTCAGTGGGGGGAGGGAGACATTGCACCATGATGCTCAGAGAGGAACAAACATCTTCTCACTTAGGCAGTGAGGTTTGGACCTATGGGTCTTTTAGATCTCTTGCTGCTCCTAGAAGCCCAACTAACAGCACCAGCAACACTTTTCCTCAGTCTGCACTTAGCCAGACAACTATGATCCTTCTTCTCAGATCTGGACCTTCACCTTTGTTACATGGAGGCAGAATTGCTGCAACATGCTCTTCTTGAAGCTTGCCTACTGGTGCCGAACCACAATACACCTGTACTTAATAGGCTGCACTGGTTTTCTATTTGCTTCCATGTACAGTATTAATCCTTGGTTAAGTCATAAACCCTTGTATCTTTAGTAAATTGCCAACAGCCTGCTAGGTGATTGTATATAGTTTCAGATATGACTGTCTGAGAGATCATCGCTCCCCCTATGTGGAATCCTCTCTAGACTCAGCTTTGATTGTGAGGCATGACATTCCTTCTGAAGGTTCCTTGACTGTGAAATCTGCTTCCTCTGGGCCTGACAGAGCCCCAAGTTAGTTTGCATTCAGTGCATTAGACAAGACCCACCTGTTTGCTCATAATGAGGGAGTTTATTCTGTTTAGGGTTGATCCATTATTACTGGGATTGTCTAAATCACTGGCTGTAGCAACCAACACACAAGTTAAATGTATGGTTTTATTCTGGAAATGTGTCCAATGGCCTAGCAATGGACAAGTTTTATAAATAAAACATCATCTGCATTACATTTGTTTTAATGCTGATCACTAATGCTTACTTATTTTCCTCAGGCTTCCACTAACTGGGTTGTAGTACAGGGAGTGCTTAAGCTAACATAGTGCTTCTGCCTAACCACACTATGGGTCTATTTCCGATTGGGGCCCATTTTACAGGCCTACCTGGGTAACACAATTGCACAAGGGGAAAAAACCCACCACAGGAGCCTTTAAACAAAACAATCAAACCAACCTAATCTGGGACCACAAACATTAAAATGCCATAATCCTAATCCTATGGTTATTGCATGGTGTCACTAAAGGTCAGTGTTAAGGCTGTTTAAGTGCCTTAACTGTTTTTTTCTTACCTTAACATGTTTGGATTTCTTTTAAGTGTAACCTTAACTCTGAATTTCCTGGGTTTATAATCATAGAATCATAGACTAAGGTCAGAAGGGACCATTATGATCGTCTAGTCTAACCTCCTGCACAACGCAGGCCACAGAATCTCACCCACCCACTCCTGCATCAAACCCTAACCTATGTCTGAGCTATTGAAGTCCTCAAATTGTGGTTTAAAGACTTCAAGGTGCAGAGAATCCTCCACCAAGTGACCCGTGACCCACGCTACAGAGGAAGGCGAAAAACCCCCAGGACCTCTGCCAATCTGCCCTGGAGGAAAATTCCTTCCCGACCCCAAATATGGCGATCAGCTAAACACTGAGCATGTGGGCAAGACTCACCAGCCAGACACCCAGGAAATAATTCTCTGTAGTAACTTAGATCCCACCCCATCTAACATCCCATCACAGGCCATTGGGCATATTTACCGCAAATAGTCAAAGATCAATTAATTGCCAAAATTAGGCTATCCCATCACACCATCCCCTCAATAAACTTATCAAGCTTAGTCTTGAAGCCAGATATTTCTTTTGCCCCCACGGCTCCCCTTGGAAGACTGTTCCAGAACTTCACTCCTCTGATGGTTAGAAACCTTCATCTAATTTCAAGTCTAAACTTCCTGATGGCCAGTTTATATCCATTTGTTCTTGTGTCCACATTAGTACTGTGCTTAAATAATTCCTCTCCCTCCCTGGTATTTATCCCTCGGATATATTTATAGAGAGCAATCATATCTCCCCTCAGCCTTTTTTTGGTTAGGCTAAACAAGCCAAGCTCCTTGCATAAGACAGGTTTTCCTTCCTCAGATCATCCTAGTAGCCCTTCTCTGTACCTGTTCCAGTTCAAATTCATCCTTCTTAAACATGGGAGACGAGAACTGCACACAGTAATCCACATGAGGTCTCACCAGTGCCTTGTATAACGGTGCCTAACACCTCCTTAGCTCTACTGGAAATGCCTCGCCTGGTGCATCCCAAGACTGCATTATCTTTTTTCACGGCCATATCACATTGGCGGCTCATAGTCATCCTATGATCAATCAATACTCCGAGGTCCTTCTCCTCCTCTGTTACTTCCAACTGATGCGTCCCCAGCTTATACAAAAAATTCTTGTTATTAATCTCTAAATGCATGACTTTGCACTATTCACTATTAAATTTCATCCTATTACTATTACTCCATGTATGATATCCCGGGCCTTTTCTGTATTGGCAATACTTCCCAGCTTTGTATCATCCGCAAACTTTATTAGCACATTCCCACTTTTTGTGCCAAGGTCAGTAATAAGATTATATAAGATTGGTCCCAAAACCAATCCGAGGAACTCCACTAGTAACCTTCCTCCAGCCTGACAGTTCACCTTTCAGTATGACCAGTTGTAGTCTTCCCTTTAACCAGTTCCTTATTCATTTTTCAATTTTCATACTGATCGCCATCTTTTCCAATTTAGCTAATAATTCCCCATGTGGAACCGTATCAAATACCTTACTGAAATCGAGGTAAATTAGATCCACTGCATTTCCTTTGTCTAAAAGATCTATTACCTTCTCAAAGAAGGAGATCAAGTTGGTTTGGCACGATCTAGCTTTTGTAAAACCCTGTTTTATTTTGTCCCAATTACCATTGACCTCAATGTCCTTATCTGCTTTCTCCTTCAAATTTTTTTCCAAGACCTTGCATACTACAGATGTCAAACGAACAGGCAGGTAGTTACCCGAATCACTTTTTTTTCCTTTCTTAAAAATAGGAACTATGTTAGCAATTCTCCAGTCATACAGTACAACCCCTGAGTTTACAGATTCATTAAAAATTCTTGCTAATGGGCTTGCAATTTCATGTGCCAGTTCCTTTAATATTCTTGGATGAAGATTATCTGGGCCCCCCGATTTAGTCCCATGAAGCTGTTAGAGTTTGGCTTCCACCTCAGATGTGGTAATATCTACCCGCATATCCTCATTCCCATTTGTCATCCTACCATTTTCCCTAAGCTCCTCATTAGCCTCATTAAAGACTGAGGCAAAGTATTTGTTTAGATATTGGGCCATGCCTAGATTATCCTTAACTTCCCCCCCTTCCTCAGTGTTTAGTGGTCCCACTTCTTCTTTCTTTGTTTTTTCTTATTTATATGGCTATAGAACCTTTTACTATTGGTTTTAATTCCCTTTGCAAGGTCCAACTCTACATGGCTTTTGGCCTTTCTCACTTTATCCCTACATGTTCTGACCTCAATAAGGTAGCTTTCCTTGCTGATCCCTCCCATCTTCCACTCCTTGTAGGCTTTCTGCTTTTTCTTAATCACCTCTCTAAGATGCTTGCTCATCCAGCTTGGTCTACAACTCCTGCTTATTAATTGTTTCCCCTTTCTTGGGATGCAGGCTTCTGATAGTTTCTGTAACTTTGACTTGAAGTAATTTCAGGCCTCCTTCGCCTTTAGATCCACAAGTTCTTCAGTCCAATCCACTTCCCTAACTAATTTCCTTAATTTTGTAAAGTTAGCCCTTTTGAAATCAAAAACCCTAGTCACAAATCTATTTTTGTTTATCCTTCTATTTAGTTTAAACTGAATTAGCTCATGATGGCTCGAACCAAAATTGTCCCCTGCAACCATTTCTTCTATGAGGTCCTCACTACTCACCAAAACCAAATCTAAAATGGCATCCCCTCTTGTTGGTTCAGCAACTACTTGGCGAAGGAATCCATCAGCTATCGCATTCAGGGAAATCTGAGCCCTATTATTATTATTAGCACTTGTCTTCCCGTCTATATCTGGGAAGTGAAAGTCTCCCATGATCACACAATTCCCATTAGTATTTACTTAATTAAAAACATTAAAGAGGTCTCTATCCATATCCAAATCAGATCCCGGTGGTCTACAGCACACCCCAAGCACTATCCCAGGGGAGGCTCTAGTAGCTTTCTTCCCCAATGTGATTTTTGCACAGACGGACTCTGTCTTATCCATTTCATCCCTTCTTATTTCTTTACAGTCTACCTCATCATTGATATACAATGCTACTCCACCACCTTTGCCTTTATTTCTGTCTTTCCTAAACAGCACATACTGTTCAATACCTGTACTTCAGTCAGGACTACTATTCCACCATGTTTCTGTTATCCCTATAATATCTGGTTTGACTTCGCATTGGTGTACAGACATCTTAATTTTTGCTGTTTGGCTTCGCTCACATTCTTTACCTGATTAGGCCCAGACATTCTACCGCCAGTTTCACCTATTAGACTGGTATCTACACTACCCTTCCTCCTTATGTCCATTCTCCTACCCACGGCTGTATCCTTTCTTACTTTGTTTTCTTCCCTCTCAATGTTAAAATCCAGCATGGAGATTACCTGGACATCTCCCAACCAAATGCATGTTTTTAGGGTAATTACAAACAAGCTGTACGTTTTTTTGTACCCTTGAGATACTGATATACACTTTCAACCCTAACTCCATCTGAACAGCTTGTCTGTGGATTTCCTAAGTTTTTTTAAATTACAAAGTTTCATACACACCCTAATCTAGAAAATGCTACCATGCTATATTTTTAATGATTTGCAGTTATTCAGTATCAATCTTAATTTTTTTAATTTTAACTTTTATGGATAGATTCACCAGTACCTACAAAGCAGTGCACAGCTGCCAGCGAGGGTGGGTTCACAGCTGCTTTGCCTCGCTGGAGCAGCACAAAGCACACAAAGCATTCCGGTGAATCTGGCCCTTAATTTGCAGTTGACTTATTGGAGGGCTGCATTAATTAAAATACTGCTAAGCAGAGAGCACCAGGGTGAGCTCAATCCCCTATTCCCATTATCACTGAATTTTAAGGACTCCCCTATAATCCTGCCTGAATTACCCTGGCAGTGCTGTCTCAACACATTGTAGAGCCATCAAAGCAGTACCACGGGGAAGCCTTTCAAGCACTGATGCCCAAGCCAGCATGAAGCCATAGAATTTTTAAAGAGCAGTGGCAGATGGGCCAAGCATCTGACATGTGAGAACTCTTGACATGTGTCCGCTCTCCTTCATACCACTGACTCACTGCAACCAATAGGCTCCACTTGAGTTACCTGTCTAGTGTATACAATCCTAACAATTAGATACAATTGTTTATAACTACATTAAAGTTATACCCTACTTTCTTCAAATATGGCCTATGCATAAAATTTCAATTAATGTTAAGTATATGGAAAGTTTGAAGTGTCTGCATTATTATTCTATTGCTAAGATCATTCAGGACAAAGAAAAGGCAGATTAAGAAATGTAACAAAGGACCACATCTTTAATTAATTTTATCATAAACAAATTAACAGAGTTACTTGCAAATACTTTGAAAATTCATTCTGTAGTAGCAGAATGTGCAGGAAAGTTGAGGATGATGTACTGTATTTTTCACACAAACAAGACATTGAAGCCCTGCTTTAAGTGAAAAATGGTACCCAACCTTAATTATGGAGTCGCAACCAGCACCTCCATACTACCAGAAGGAAAAAGACAGTAGGGAGAAAGCATTAAAAGAGAATGAAAGGGCTGGAATTAATCATGACTCAAATGGCTGAAATACTGGGCACCACCTTTAGATCTTGTTTTCCAAAAGAAGTGAAGTTCGGGTAACTAAGACAGGAGGAAGCCCCTGTAAAAATAGCTCTCGCTAAAAAGATAAGGGAATCCTTGGAAGAGGACATATAGACATTAGTGGGACAATATGCATCCCAAGCTGTTAAGGGAGCTAGCAAACAGACTTAACGTACCATCGAGTTATTTCTGGAAAAATCCTGCAAACATTCCAAAAATCTGAAGAAAAGCACATACAATTATAGGCTCCCCTACACCAGCTATGTATGTGGCTTGATTACCTACTGAAAGCCCTACAATATGAGTGGAGCAAAGTGTCTTCTATAGGAAACCAATTGATATGACACAACATGTGTTTGGCGCTTTACAAACAAATCTAGCTCTGAAATGCTTTCTACTGAAATTGACAATTATTTGAGGAAACTCATAATATTATTGAAAATACCACATAGGATGGAAGCTCAACAGTTCACTGAAGGTTCATAAACTACACCCGAGATATCAGTGAGCCGGGACCCCCATAAGGTTTAATGCCAAGCATCCCCTGAAACCTATGAGGTTGTTACCCTTTCCCCAGGAACTGCTGTGAGATAGACAATATGACCATGTTACCAGCATCTTTTATGTTAATGTAGCTATTGCTCAAAGGGTGGATGCTTCACTGCCAGCTGCATTTACCAAGGCTTCTTTGAATAAGTTATGCTGGATGGTTTGCTATGGGAAGACTTGCTTTGATCAGCCTCTGAATAAGATAGTTGGATCCTCTGAATCCCATCCTCCTGGCCTTCTTCAAAGCCACCCTGCTGGTTGTTCAGATAATCCCCACAAACCTCTGAGACAGCCACCCCAAATCTTTCTCCACACCCACATCCTGGCAGGTCTCATAAGCCCCCTGTGCCTACCTGTAAGAATGTCTGTCAGCAGGCGGAGAGGTAGGTGCAGGAACTCCTCTGTATCCTGAAGCTGTGACAAATGTGACTTGGCACAGTGCTTTGCAGCTGTGTAGAGCTCCACGTCACTGTGTTGATCTGCCAGCCACATAACCTGAAGACAATTTCTCACCTGCACCGTGCGGGCCAGGAAACGGGAGCACTCCTCAAAAAGGGCAGTCAGCTGGTACATATCTGCCACCTCATATGTTTCCTGCAACTCTTCTGCCCGCAGCTTTACAGTCCCATGGTAAATATAGTCCACCAGGAGTTGGAAAACACTCTCGCTAACATCTTGTAGCTCAATCACCTGGTTGTGAGCCTCCTTCAGGTTGGAAGTGAACATGGAACGAAAGAAGCAGCTCTGAGCTGAGAGGACTAGCCGGTGCAGCTGGAATTCTTTGCCTTCCACTGAGATGGTAACATCAGCAAAGAGCTCATCCTCCAGACAGAGCTTCATAATACCCTGAGCTACCCGGCCTGAGTGAGAACGGTCAGTGAAGGTGTAATTCACAAAGTAGTTCTCTTCTGTGGAGGAGCCCCCAGTCTCCTCCGATGAGTCCATGTTGCTGCACAGATCTGACCTCCAGCAATCTGTAAAACAATGGCAGTGAGACTCTCCCCTCAACTAACAAGATCATGCAGCTCAGGGTACATGCAACTCCAAAAGCCAAGAGGAGTCGGTGGGTAGCCAAACAAACTGCAGCCTAAGTAACATAGCTACTAGAAACTTCCACCTGATCTGCAGTGCTTCCTTATAAGTGCAGCACATGAGGTGATGTGATTAAAACTGCCACAACTGTCACTACAGTGGTAGCCTCATGCAACAGTGGAATCCCAATATTCCAATCCCTGGAATTAGCAAACACAATTACCCTTTCATCCCCATCTCAGCATCCTAGTGAAATATAGCAAAAGAGATCTAAGGTATGTAGGGGACATAGCCAGCAACCCAAATCATGAATCTCTCCTTTACAACAGAGGGGGCACATGAAAGAAATTTCAGAATTTATGACTCTAATAAAGTCAGATTCATTCTTCTCACATTGCATACTCCCCACTTCCGGTTTGATAACAGGGATTTCTGAAATCAATAAAGCAAGGAAAAGATGGTATTATTAGTGTGGGCAGGTAAGATGCAAACAAGGTTGAGGCATGGTGTGTCGGCAAAGGGAGTCTTCAAACTACCCAGATGAGAAATTTGCCAAGTGCCTGAGAGTTGCATTAAATTTATATGAAGTGCCCTGCATCTTCAATATGAGATACAACGTGTAGAGATGACTAGTCCCAGGCAACTTGAATCAGATAATCAAGTACTATAGAAAGGCTTCACATTTCAAGCCAGATGGTACCTGCCAGATGTTATTAGCTGTAATCTCCATTAGCAGCAGGGCAAGGTCAAAAGAAGCAATGATGTCTCTTTGGCAGGCATTTCCCCAGGGGCAGGAGGCGAGGTAGGTCTCTGCCACAACGAAGAGCTGCTGCAGAGAGGGTTGGCAGTAGAGTGACCAGACGTCCCAATAAAATCGGGACCGTCCCGATATTTAGGTGTTTGTCCTGCATCCCGACCGATCTTTGGTCAGGACACAATTTGTCCCAATATTTTCTTCCTCTCATCTGGTCAGCCTAGGTGGTAGCTACCTCTTTACCTCATTGGTGATGCTATTGTGCAACTGGAGGGTTTTGGCATCAGCAGCAGATGCATCCCAGCAATAGCAGAACATAGACAAGCTTCTTACAATTGGGACTATGCTCACTCAAAACTCATTTTCACCCCTCACCGAGAGACTAAATTTCTAGCCCCAACTCTAGTGGGCCATAAGGTTAACATTCAAACTTAATCATAGCAGTTATCTCTGCATCATCATTTTTCAGTGATTTCAATAGGATGATTTCATCCAAGAAGTTTGCAATTGCTGTAGTCCTTCGGTTGAAGATATAGGCCCACAATTGTTCAACTCTGTCTGTAATTTGGAAGCATTCCTGGGGGTTCTTTGCTGAAACTAAAACACACACACAGCAGTGACCATGAGCAACACTTCCTATCATTTCTGGTTGCCAAGAAGATCCTCTATTCTGGAGAATGATAACCTTGCCTCAGCTATAAGTATCTTTGTTACTTCTCAGCTGGACTACAGCAGCATAACATACCTGGGCATGAAACCATCAATCTCTAACTAGTACAGAACTCAGTACCTCTCCTTGGCAAAACAGGCCACCACAGCTACATCAAACCTGTCCCCTGCTCTCTACAGTGTCCTCCCATAGGCAATTTCAAGTCAAATTCAAGGTTTTGTTCCTTATCTTCAAGGCTCTCGACAACCTGAGCCCAGGACATCTAAAAGATCACCTGAAGTGCCAGGATAAGAACGGTGATGGGCAACGTCACTCTTCAGGTACCATGAACTTTTACTGAAAGGGTAACGCTCACTTGTGGTGGAAACAGACCTTTCTCAGACTGTGGAACAAACTCCCATAGGAACTAAGGACCATCACAAACCTCATCACCTACTCCAAGTATAGAGTCCATTTTTTCAACCTTGCCTTCTCCAATATGAATACAAAGCAGCATGTTCTTATTAAAAAGCTGTACCTACTAAAACAAAACACTGCAATGCACACATAGCTTCCTTTTTGGGGTGAGGATGAGAAAAAGAATGAACTGCATGTGACAGATGCTAATCACGTCATTTAATGCACTGTTGGAAGGTGTTCAATGACTGCAATGATGAAGGTGACTTACCTATATAGAAAATAAAATAGATACCAACAGTCATTTTCCTTTTCTCTTGTCTAAAATAAAGAATCCACCAGGGAAACGACATCTTAGTATACTACTATTAAAAACTACAGTTGAAACAGAATAAAGGCTGCAAAAACAAGTGCACAAATTCTGATAATGCTAAAGGTGACATTTCCCTCATAACATTAACTTGACCACATGTCATGTGCAGGATTTTTCAAAGATTGGGGAGTTGTATAATCTTCAGCTAAAGACTGGTGGTAAAATACACAATGGGAGGATCCACTTTCATGCTCTCTTCTATACCATGTGCTCATGAGCATTATTTCTTAGCGCACTCAGAGACCTCCGATAACAATTTCAATTTCTATCTCCATGGTGATGATACTCAGATCTATTTCTGTCTTTTCCAGTGAAGGGCAGTTTGGCTGGGCAGGTCTGGGATCAGTTGGAGTCTGTCTCTCCCACATTTCTTCATGGAGGCCTCAACAATTTAAGCTCATCTTTCTTCCTATATCTTCCCCATGTCTCCCATTCTCTATCACAGTTGACAACACCACTGCCTATATTACTTACATGATCAGGGAGTCATCTTAGGCTCCTCCCTCTCCCAGCACTTTTTCCTCTGTCCCAACAGCTAACACACTTTTACAAGCCCTGATTATTTCCCAATTTGATTCCTGCATCTCCTCCTCCTCCTTTGGCCTCCCTACTACCCATACCATTGCTCCCTCCAGTGTATCCAAGTTGTGGCAGAGAGATTAAAAAAACTATTAATGATTTTATTGAATTTCATATAAGTATCTAATTATGCAATCAATCCAAGGAAGAGAGGGATGGAACTACCCCCAAAAAGAACTGATGAAAAAAGAAACGAAGGAAAAAGTGATGGAAAAGTGGAGTGCTTCACAGGTTGTTTGATGAATGTCAAGCATATGAATTCAAATGCAACAGAGCTCTGCTTCTTGTGACAATGGATAATTGATCACATCAGCATATTAAGATTACATCTTTCAAATTGTTTGAGTCTTTTGTATGCCGTACTTCCAAGCCCACCAAATCAATGCTGGTCCCATCCTGGGAGTGCGGAAGGCGCTTGAAAAGCAGTCCCCTCCCTGGATCTTTCCTGCCTCCTTTCATCCAGCCCTTCACCACTGACTGAGATTTACCTTCAAGTAAACCCTTGGACAACACCAGACAGGCTTGCGCTTCGCTCTCCTCTGCTACCCTCCTGTCCACGCCTCCTACCCCGGGCTTCCCCTGCATGCGCGGCACACTGCCCACAGGCCTGAAATACCAGTCCCAAACCGGCCGCAGGCCGCCCCTCTCCTCAGATCCCGCTCAGAAATCTGCTCCTTCGAGTCCCCCAAGGCACGCGAGTCCAGCCAAACCGGGACGGCCCCCCTCGCACCTCCCGCCAGCCAAAGCCCCCCACCTGCTGGGCCAAACCGCGGCCCCCACCTCCCCTTGCCCGCCACCCCCCAGCTCGCCCCCTGGGACAGGAAGGCTCCTCCCCCTAGGCGCGGCCCATCCTGGACCCGGAGCCAGCGCCCGCCGCTCTCCACCGAGGGTGCCCAGTAGCCCGGGCGAGGTTCTCGGCTACAGCCCTCCCGCCCTGGTGCGCCGCCGCTCCCGCGGTGGGGAAGGACGGTGGCACTAAGGGAAAAACGCCGCGCGGACTTAGCCTGGGAAACGCGCCAGCCCCGCGAGGGTTCCCACCTGCGGCTCTTCCCTTCATGCCGCCGGCCCGGGCCGGAACCTCCCACCAGCCTTCCGGGGAACCTCACAACGGCTGCACCTTCCTTTTCCGCATAGCAACGCGTTCGGAACTTCCGGTCAACTTACCGGAATCTCGCGGAGAAACTGACGGCAGTGGCACTTCCGGTTCATGGACTGGGGACTTCAATGGTAGAGGCGCCTTCCGGTTCCGGTCTGTGTCCTTGTTTGTCCGTGTTCCCGGCTCGCTGCCTGGGGCAGGATGTTGGCAGCAGCGCTAGGGCTGGCCCGGGCTGGCCTTAGAGGTGAGCAATGGGGCAGGGAGAGGTTTCTGGGGCTGGTGGGAGGGCGGCTGGGCCTGGGCTGGCGGGGAGGGAGTCGGGTCCCCCGTGACCCCGGTCCCACGTGAGTCGGGTTGCCTGGGCGAGGAGCCCCTCGGTAGGACCGGCCTATGTGCAGCTCCTGCTGGCTGGGGCAGGGGTCACCGTGACCCCTTCTAGCCGTGCCTAGAGTGGTTCGGTGGCAGAGGCTGTCTTCCTGCCCAGTTCTCCTCTGTCTCGCTGGGTCGGCTAGTGCCGCCCTTTGGGGAAAGATTTTACTTCTATGAGTTCTGTACAGCTAAATGGCAAATGTCTTTTGTGTCTCACTGGCCACCTACGTCTCCCTGGTTTCTCCGGGCCTCGCTTCTGTTGGTGACTCTAGGTTTAGTGAGAATCTGCCTGCTCATGTGCTGTAAGATATCTGCTGAGTTGGCGCTTCTGGGAGAAGGCTTGAATAACGTGGTGATGATCGTGATATAAACATCAAGACAGAAAGAAGAGATCTCCGAGTTCCATGTTATATTTGATCTGTTCTTTCTGTTAAGCGTGTTACTGTTTGCTCTAGTATATCAAGCACTGCTCACTTCTAAGTAAAATAGTTGGGCATATGGTTTAGATATTGCTGTAGGAAATTGAGTGATACATCCTCCACTTCTAAAATGTGACTAATCAGATTTCTGGTTTAGGAAAAGAGGCTTTATTGCTTTGCGTGTAAAAGATATCACCATAGCCTTTGTTTTTGCATAGTACTTAGTAGAGGGAATAGGCCCCTTTGGTAGAATTTGTGTGTGTGAGAGTAGCACTTGTCTGCTGGACTGCACATTCATGATTTCTTTTGGGGTATTTTCACTACACTATATGATTATTGTTTGGGGGGAGAGGTGGAGGGGCAGGTCAGACTTAATTCCCATATGTTAAAATGGAGCTCACCTCACCAGGATGGAGCAACATGAGGGAGTCTCCTGGTCTCTGGAAAGGAGGAAAGAAGGCATTCCTCCTTATAGGAGGATGGAGTATGTGGTACAGACTGTTTCATCTATGCTCTTTCTCTTTGTAGCTGCTGCACGCCCTGCAGTGCTGTTGCCAGCTCGTTTTGAGGGGAGCTCCACAACAGAGACCCGTTGTAAGTCTGAGTTTATTAGTATTTCACCAACTCCTGGAGTCTGTATAGTGGGTATCATTTAGAATAACTCAGTAAGGTGACCATATTTTCAAATTCAACCCAGAACATTTTTGCAGTGACATTTACATATATAAAAAAAAATTGTGCTTATTTTTTCTAAGTGTGCTGATGCTGCTACTGCCAGCTTCTGACTCCACCATAACATTTGCATATTTCTCCGAGGGGAAGAGGATTTTTAACTTTGGTAATACTCTTTCCATTAGACTGTTTCTGGTAATCACCCCAGATCTAATTCTGTGTTTCAGTAAATCTTGAACAACAAAAAATAAACCTTTTGGTTGATGAAAAAAAACAAGGACACTTCAGGTGTTGTGAAAGAAGTTGCTGAGATGCTAGAACATTATGGGACTGTCCTGGTACAACTAAGACATTATGTGCTGGAGAAACTGCTTTCCTCTTATCTGGAATCAGTCTGTTAAATCCCTTAGGAAATGTTTGCTGATGTTCAGTCTAAACTTCTCTTTCACTTTATTCCTTTTACTGAATTATAACATCCCCCTACCTTCTGATTCCACTCAGTGTGATGCAAGTAGTTTCATATTCATGGTGACAGGGTGTTCTGTTGTCTGACCTCTGATGGGCAAGTCTACTCCAGTGCCCAGCCACTTACCAAAGTCTATTTTCTAAATATGCTATGCATCATGTACATTACCAGAGATTAGACTCTATATATTCCTCCTAGTGTTGGTAGATAGCCATTTAGTTCACCATGTTATGAGGTTTTGAGTTGATCTTTGCAATCATGGCTTGTCTCCCCCTGCCTAGCTGCTCCCTGCTGGGGAACAGACCTATGGCCAAGCTGACTAGAGTCATGCTGAGCTAGTGTGGCCTGGGAGTTACTGCTCCTCTTTCTATGGCTTACCATGCGATAGCCCTGAGAAGTCTCTTGTTCTTTCCAGTCACCATTCGACCAAAGGATGAAGTGGCCCAGAACCAGCTATGTGCTTTTGGAGAGTATGTGGCTGAAATTCTGCCCAAGTATATCCAGCAAGTCCAGGTAGGTATTACCAATCAAATCATTCTAGCTTGGGATATGTGTAGTGAGGAGCTGGCTGGTAGAGCCCTGCTTGGATACAAAATTTGTATCCGCATCCAATCCACGATTCGCAAACATGGTCTGCAGATATCCCCAGATTTACAGGGCTCTGGGTGGGAGAGAGTGATAGAGCTGGCTAAAAAACATTTCTGCTATTGAGTTCCTTGAACTGATGTGATATACCTGATCATGTGGCCCCAAACCCTTCTGATCTGAGTATCCTGCTTTATTCAATGCACTGCTCAATCCCTTCTGCGTCTATACTAATTCACTTTCTGTTCCTTTCTACAGGTGACCTGTTTCAATGAATTGGAGATATTTATCCATCCTGATGGGATTGTTCCAATTCTGACTTTTCTTCGAGATCACACCAATGCCCAATTTAAATCCCTGGCTGATTTGACTGCTATTGATGTCCCAACTCGACAATACCGTTTCGAGGTAGGAACTATTCCTTGGAGGTACAGACCTGCAAAGAGTCATAGAAGATGATGGTATTGAATACTAAGATAAGCAATTGTTTACAGCTCTGGCCATGGCCTTTGCATTCTGCGATAGTTATGCTTATCTGCTCTGAGAACTTTTGAGTTTTGCTTAACCCACTGAGCATAGAATCAGTTGTATCACTGACATATTATATATATACCCAATTAATTAGTGAGCCCGAGGCACTCTAAGGAGAGGTGTCTGCATCTGGGGGCCATGAGACAAGTGCATACTACTACTTCTAGGGGAATTCTGTGCCACTGCCCAATGCAGGATTTCATTTTTCCCCATAGAATTAGTGATGCAGAGCTGCTGGCCACCATTAGGGGCCACTAGACTCAGCAGAGCCCCAGCTCCCAAATACAGTTACTCCTCGCTTAATGTTGTAGTTATGTTCCTGAAAAATACGACTTTAAGCAAAACGATGTTAAGCGAATCCAATTTCCCCATAAGAATTAATGTAAATGGGGGGGAGGGGCGTGTTAGGTTCCAGGGAAATTTTTTTCACCAGACAAAAGACGTGTGTGTGTGTGTGTGTATATACACACACACTATAAGTTTTAATATATATACACACACACTATAAGTTTTAAACAAACAATTTAATACTGTACACAGCAATAATGATTGTGAAGCTTGGTTGAGGTGGTGAAGTCAGAGGGTGGGATATTTCCCAGGGAATGCCTTGCTGCTAAATGATGAACTAGCACTTGGCTGAGCCCTCAAGGGTTAACACGTTGTTAGTATAGCCTCACACGCTACAAGGCAGCACGAATGGAGCGAGGGGAGAGAGCAGTTCACAGTCTGGTACAGCATCTCTCTCTTTTGCCTCATGGGATTTCCATATCAGATGAAAGATGCTGTATTCTAAAACAAAAAACTAAGAGTTGGGCTGAAACTGTTTTATTGGTATCAAAACCCTAAAAACAGTATTATCCTTTCTTTAAACTTGGTTTATGTTTAAAAAAAAAATTGCAACAGGGTAGCTAAATCTAATTAAAGTTGATCTAATTACACCAGTGAAGACCCTTTATATAGAAACACTAATCTCCTATTGCATATAAACAACACAAAATATATTTTTAAATCTCTTCTTAACCACATAAGAAAGTTAAAGCATTTGAAACTTAATTTACCAAATTTCTTTTTAATAATAGTTTTTACTTGACGCAACTTCCTTGTATTAATAGCTTTTTTAAAACTGCAGGAAATAATTAGTTATAAATGGTAGGTGGGATATTCAAATCACCTAGTGGATTTAGGCATCTAACTCCCACTGGCTTTCAATGGGAATTGCCACCTAACTTCCTTAGGTGCTCTTGAAAATCCCACACGGTAGCTCTTGAGTTGTTCCAAAACACAGATGCACACAGAGAGAGAAAAGATAAGTCACAGCTTCTGTCTTTCAC